TCTTGGTCGTCTTGTGTGCTGCGGCATATATCAGCAGTAGAGTTGGAGCTCAGTTTATACAAAATTTCAATTTTTAAAAATTTACAGCCCAGCGTGCGATCTCCACAGCCCAGGACGCGCATGTTCGTTGCTTCTGTAGGCAAAAACATCACGTGCATGCCATACGCACGAACACTGAAAATGGCCCCGGCCAGAAGCCCGTGTCGAAAGGCCGTACTGTTTTTCGCATTAATTGCGTGAACAAAGGGAAGCGTCGATAGTGATTCCATAACAACAAAGAATGTCTAAGGCGTCGCCATGGCCTCAAAAGACAATGATACGTGAGTTCGGCCGAGTTTCCAATATATATGGCTTGGAAGTAACGTCATTGCATCATTCTGGTGTTCATCTCAAGTTCTTTTTGACATGAGAAAGGAATTCAGTGGTAAGTAACTAAGTATCGCCTCCACGGTGGTAGACAAAAGGGACCGTCCGCGATCTTTTATGAGAGTACGTGGAGCTCCTTCAGCGGGAACGCAGCAATTTAGGGTGCTGTGACGTCGGGAAGGACCGCTGTTTCTACGTAACATGTTAGATGGTCGATATACACAATTATCCAGTTCTGGGAAGGGTCCGAATAGATCAACTCACACAACGACGAACGGTAAATGAGGGGGAGCTATGGGTTCGAGAAGTCCTGGGGGAGTTGATGTGGGACACTCTCGACGCTGGCACAGCTGGAAACTCCTGACGCACTTGAATACAGCACTATACACTCCGGGCCAAAAGAACCCATGGATGACGAACTCTTGTGTAGGTTTTAGGAATCCGAGATAACGGGTAGGGGGCTCATCTTGCAGATTTTGTAATATCTCTTGTCAGAGGTGTTGAGGTATGACAAGGACCCAACGCTTACCCTGTGGATCATAATTTTGACAAAACAACATCCCGTCAATATAAACAATTGTTGAGCTTTGTTAATAAAACGTCAACTTTTGGACGGATTGCTGCCTCTCAAGCGGGAGAGTATTTGAATTATTCACACGATCTGCACGCTGCTCGGAAGGCAAAGTCTCACAGGAAATAGAAGCGATTGAAGCTGTGGTATTTGTGTATAGTGCAACTGTAGTAATGGTGTTAAAGTGCCCCTGGAAAGAAAAAAAAAGTTTTTTTAACAGTGTTGTTGGGACATCCGTGTCAAAATATTAATCATACGCAAAAGAATACATTTTTAGAGAAATATTCACGACCCGAGACGCGATTTAGTCGCTAGTCACCTCATTTCTACTTGTTTTTTATCTCGGCATGCCGAGCGCGTGGAGGAGAGGTGGACCGGCTTCGCCTTCGCGTCGAGGTGGAAAGAGCGAATTACCCTCTCATTGAGCGAGTGACTACTTCGTGACGTCATGGACTTTGCGCGCAGAATTTCAAATAAATTTCTCGCCGTGAATACCGCCCTAAATTTTTTTTTTTTCGCGTAAAATTTGTTTAGTGTCACGCGTGTCCCAACAGACTGTTAAAAAAAAAAGTTATTTTTTTCCTTTTAGAGGTCCTTTAAGGGTAAGCGTAGTACATCGGCAGAGGCCATCAGCGTCTTGATGTTTTTGATCACTTCTGTTGACGATATTAAAATCATACTCCTGGAGTTTTAGCGCCCACTGACCGAGGAGTCCGGTTAGGTCCTTAAGGGAAGCAAGCCAGCACAAAGAGTGGTGGTCGGTGACCACTTCAATGTGTCTTGCATAAAGCTATGGTCGGACTTTTCCAATAGCACAAGATTGAAATTTAGACGCTTCGTAAACGACACTTTAATATTATTTTAAACAGCATTCGTAAAACATGTTTTTAGGCGAAAGCCTTGCCGCGATGAGCGAAAAAGCGTCGCATTAACCGATAAATAAATATACGATTGAGGGGCTCGCTCCACTCATCGGGCGATCCTACTTGTCCCATTGCCTTGGCGTCATCCTTGCGGTCATCCTAGAAGTCCTCCTATACCTCTAGGACGACTTCACTTTTCACAACACTTAAAAAACAAGCGGCGTCGGCGGCGTTGTGCTGTGCCCGAAGGATGATCATAAAATACGTCATCAGGTAACAGCAGCGTGATGCCAAGTGAATAACTTCTGCAAACATGAAATCCAGATAGAATCCAGATAGATTTCTAGTTTTATAATCCAGATAGAGAAACGTTATACTGGGTTTTTGGGTAGGGATGGATCTCTAAAAATCGCAAAACTCGATGTGTAACATACGAGTGTTCGATTTAAAGAATAATCTACCCGTTTAACACATCTAAAGTGGAATGACCCTCAAGATCACATCTTTCAGTGCCTGAAAATATTATTTAACTCAGTAACTACGTTCTGAGACACATTTGTCGGTAGGTGGGAAACCGACATTAACGTCTATACCGAGGCGTTGACTTCAAAACAGTATTTTTGGTACACACCATACTAAACCAGAAAACCAGAAACTAACGGAGGACAAGGGCGCAAACACACACGTCTCAATCTTTATGAGTGAAGCAAAGTGATGAGCTGGAAAACGTCTATGTTTGTCACTTTGTCGTCCGTTCCTCGCCGGTTTAGAATCCTGTGGAACGTTAAGGAGCTCGCCTGCTTTATACATTTGGTTTCTGTATTGCTCGTGACTTTATGTTTAAAAAAAAAATGGGGCCGCATCTCCACGTGGTGAATGATGATCTTTGCGGCGAAACTGTGGTGGTGCTGATGATACTGGTTTTATTGTTCATAGGTGGTGCGGAGTTCCGGATTGCGTTTCAACTTCATTATTATGCTTAATGGTCGGTGAAATGCAGAGCCAGTGGTTCTTCTAGCTAATCAGCTTTGATCCGCTAGAAGCCGTGCGAACGCATCTCCACCGCTTAAGTCAACGGTCCATGTAAGAAAGAGAATGTGTAGTACCGATCGTGGTTATATACGCAGTTGAGCATTTGACCGCAGCGCCATCTCCTGTATAGACGTTGAGCGACTACATACAACGTTGAAGTGTAGCGTAGTGTGCAACAAAGAAAAAAAAAGTGTAACCTAGTGGTTAAGACGTCTGCCTCGTAAGCAAGCGGTTCCCAGTTCGAGCCCCTGAGCGAGCGCACTTTTTATTTTTTTTTATGTGGGCCGATTTTGGAGGCAGTGCAATCGATGTGAGCACGGACGCCGGACAAGGCTAGACCCTAAGGAGCTTCGCCCCTAAGAAAAAAACTGTACCATAGAGTCAATATTACGCTACGCATATTTGTTGCTTTCGGGAGAAAAATGCGACCTGCCTGCGCACTACTCCAGCTTCCTCGCCAAAGCGGGAATAATTCATGTCGCTCAGTAATGTCAGCACACCACAAGACAGGCCTAGCAAAGGGTATACCATCACGTATCTCCGATCCTCACTATTACCGCCATTTTGATAAACGAGTGGCGCCACATATAGACAGTTGGAGTCGTGAGTGTAACGTGACACTTTCGCGTCACGTCACGGGGTAAACTTTCCCGCAGACTTTAGTGGGCGAAATGCACCGTGCGCCACATCACATCTGTCAGCCACGTTAAATCTCCTTTGAGAATCTCCCCCAAACCAACAAAAAGAAACAAGAATATCGCGTTAAACAGAAATCACCAGTAGTATTAATATTAATTTTGGTTCACAAGTAAAACAGCACCAGTCAATAAAGATACCCTCGGGTGACGTAGCCTATCTGTGTTTATTTGCCTGCGATTTGCACTGATACTCACCATTCAAAACAAGCTCTCACAAATAATTTTATTTTGCCAGCATTTTAGCTTGCTAATGAATACCAACAATTATCATTATATAATTAGGGTTCGGAGTTTTCGGTTTAAACCGATAAACGCCGATAAAAGTACGCCGAATTCATTTTCGGAAATTCGGTTTTAACCGAAAAAGCTCAGTTTGTAGGTTCGGCGTTTTCGGTTTAAACCGATAAAAACCGATAAAAGTACGTCCTATACGTCTTCTAGATTTCGGTTTTAACCGAAAAAGTTAAGTTTTTTAGGGCCGCGTTGAGGTGGGTGGGGGAGGGAGAGAGGAAGAGAGCTTTGCGAGGTTCGGCATTATGTGAAGTCTTCGTGATTGCCCTCTTCCAAGGTTCAACATGCAACAAAAGAGGTCTTGGATTGGCCTTCGCGGGACATCTGTGTCTTTTCTGTGATCGAGCTTAGTGTGTCCAGTTCCGGTCCCGAAAAAAAAAAAAAGTTGGGATGTGGGCTAGTATAAGGTTTTTCGCTTCATGGGCACTTCAGAGGACATCGAGGAAAGCCGTCAATACCTTTCTTAACACGCTCTCTCAAACTTCCCTGTTGTTAAAAACATAAACACGATGAATATATATATATATATATTTTTTTTTACATTCCGCTGGTTTTTGTACGGTCATCACCTCAGACGGTTACGTCGTCAGAGTGGGAAGGAAAAATAAGTGCGCTGAAGAAGTTGTGCCCGCGAATTCCGCGAGTTTGAGGTGTGTCCTGACGGAAGTTGTAGCGAGGACCACTTATGTATATGTGTCGTTAATCTTTAAGTGATTGCAAATATCACAGCTACAAGGATAATCTGATCGGGTGTCCAATGGTGGTTCTTTTATATTCACCGAAAAAAATCGGTAAACTGTTTTGGGAATAAATATATGCCGAAAAAAACCGAATATTGAATTTCAAAATAAACACCAAAAAAAGTACGCCGAATTTTAAAAAAATGAAAACCGAAAACGCGGAACCCTATATTAAATGCATAATCCTCTGCTCTTGAAACATAAGATTATATAGCATCGTGAAACGAAAAATGTGAGTCGCTACTCTTGCAGGTATTTCTTGTTTCAATTTACTATCGTTAGCTTGGTTTGATCTATGGTTTTAGTCAGCGCCATGCACATTCCTGCAGCTCATGTTAGGAGTGAGGCCTCACGTTAAGGAGGGTTTATAAGTCAGTCTTACCATTCGGAGAGAGTGTTCGTGTTTATTTCTAAGCGCATTTTTTTCCTTCCGTCAAAGGACTTGATAATCTTCATGCACTTACGAATTTTCCGAACAACCAACAAGCTCTCAGAATCGAACTGACAAAATAGGACAAAGGGAACCGACAGTATTGCTCTATCACAAATTTGTCATCGGCTCCAAACAGGAGGGTTACAAGCTGACCGTTGCCGACTACGAGGGTCCTCATCAAGGTAGGTATCGGTTCTGCCGCAGTGCCTTTCGCAACAAATGCGAAGAATCTGGAATGGCGCCTGTTATTGAGCGCTTTGTCAGCAGGGAGCAGGACCTCTGCGGCTCGGCCGATAGAAAACCGAAAATCAAAAACGAGCCCAAACTGACTGTTTTTGAAAGGCTGTAAATGCTTGGGGTGCTTTCTGTCTTTCTACGTGCGCTGATTTTGTGATTCTAGACGGTTGTTAGCTATTCTCTACTGAAACATTGTTTAAATTTGTTAATTTAGAAATTTAAATTCCCAAACCTAATTCAGAACTTAGTTATCGCAAACGCTAATGATTGTTCTGAATGTTCCATTTTAAGAAACTAGTACGTAATTAATATCTTCTGTGTGACGTGTAGTTTTGCATGAACAATTCGGCTGATGTTCCGCGAAACACGCCGGCATGATCTACCTTTCATGAGATGGTAAAAATGATGTGCTATAACAGGGGTGGCCAGAGTGACATGGGGTTAGAGATGCAAACAAAACTACAAACGTTCTGAGAGCCGCAGGACAAAAGGAAGTAGTAATTCAACTACACTAATTGAATTAATGTAATTTAATTACTTTTTTTTAAATTTGTAATTGCGTTTAATTACTTTGGGCTATAAGGAATTGTAATTGTAATTTAATTACTTTCTAGCTTCAGTAATTACAAAATTTTGGGGACAATTACAAATTACTTTTGCAAGACTGCGGCTCTGGCGGAACGCCTCTGAAAGCGTCAGTGCCCGCACCGGCGGCCTAGCTCTCGGTGACACACTCGCAGTTCGAAGTTTATTTCCTGTTGGCTTTACTTCGTATAATATTGGATTCAGCATTTTTGAGACTGACTTCTCACCTGGGAATATTGTCACCATTGATTCAGGAGCCCCGATTCGGTTCTTACATAATTCTGAACCATCATAGTTCCAACTCAATGTAAATCATTTACAATAACATAAAGCGTCTGTGTGTGAATGCGTTCCTATTAGCACGTGTGGATTATAATAACACTATTAAAATATACCGAGAAGACTAATTGTCGTATATTTATTTGCCTGGCTAGCGAAAATGTGTCAACCTGATTTTACTTTACCGATCTGGCTCCTTCGAGCATATGAGCTAATTTAATATTATTTCTCGAAAATAAAAGAATGTAAGACTTCATTGTCCCAGACTGTCTAGTACTATCAATAATTTAACGTAATTCGCACAAGTAAAGCACAATACATGACATTTACACAGCGATGCCTAAGCCTCCTCATACAGTGGGGCAAGCAAAGAACAAATGCGTTGCATTCTTAACTACTCGCTTAAAGTCATATGGCCCAAGTCGAACCGCTCTCATAGATAAGTAATTGTATTACATTTTGAAAGTAATTTGTTGTCGTAATGAATTACTTTCACTGAGTAGTAATTGTAATTGCAATTAAACTACTTTTAAAGCAAAGTAATTGTAAATGTATATAAATTACATTTTGAGAGTAATTTACCCATGTATGGAGGGGGCATCTTTGTGCCGAAAAGCAATATTGTTTTATGTACGTTGTCTAGTACAAGAATGCCAAGACTATGAGCTTTTTTATTTTTTTTATTGTAGCATATTGTTTTGTCTTGGTGACACGGGAGGAGAAAGGGGGCAGACTTACCAAGGAGCCGTGAGCCGCACTTGGACCCGTGAACAGCCGCACGCGGCTCGAGAGCCGCGGTTTGGCCCTTTGCTATCATGTTGACTTTTGGCTGCTGTTTCTTACCAGGTTTTGTTTACCATTCAGTTCAACTACATACATCCGTAGTGACTGGTACAGCTGAAGCCCCAGCACGATTCCGGACATTAATTATTGACACTTTAAGTGGATTTTTGAACTAGTCAGACTAAATGCATTTTCGGAAAACCCAGGCTTTAGTCTTCCCAACTTGCTATTTATTATCTCTTCATTTAGATTAGCAATTGAGAAAGCAGCAAATGAAGGTTCTGCCAAAATCAACATTCAAATTTTCCCGCCTTCTCCAGCAGTGTGATGTCACACACTGTATAACTTGGAGGTCGAGCAGACAGTTCAAAACGACACTGTACTTTAAGCGTTTTTTTTTTTTTTGGCGTTAACTTGCTTAGAATTTATTGCACGCCACCAAACATGTGCAAACTGTGCTGTCCCCATATAGTAAGCCTATATAGGAATCAATAAATGGATGGAAGAATGATAACGGCCGTACCTTTGTAGCGGGCGGTAGCTAGCTCCACTTAGCGTCACGTTTTTTGCGTCGCGTTTTCAGTGTTGTCAATGTTACCATGGAGCCTTTCGGACCAGATTTTAAAATGCACTAACTTCAGAAAAAAAATATTGTGATTTGTAATTTAGGTTACTAGTTCAGTTGTGTCGATTAATACGTGTAAACAATTTGTATGCAAATCAGTTTGGAAGTAACGAACATCATTTTGTGTTCACTGACGCAGTAAAATTATTCTAGATGTTTGCCTATAACAGAACATATTATATCACAGAACATAATATTTTATATTTGCTGCTTGTTAGTATATCATAATGCAAGAGCCGTCAACACCCTCGCTTGGCTGACACTGGTTTTTTTGGCGTGCACAGATTACGACGCGTTGTCCTACCACAACGGACAGAAGTTCACCGTCAAGAAGAGCATGAAGCAGCCACCCGACGGAGACAGATGCTCCGCAAGACTGAGTGCTGGCTGGTGGTTCAAGGATTGCAACGAGGCAAATCTTAATGGACGTAAATTCACCTCCCGTTCGAAAATAAGGGCTCTCGGTATTACCTGGCACATCAAAGGCCAAGAAGAATCCTACTATTATCCCTACGACAGTGTGGAGATGAAGATCAGGGACTACGACTATGGTTTCTGCACGGGCGCTTTTAAATCCAAAGGTATCTAATTTCTAATCTCTGCTGCGGTTCAAAAAAAAAAAAAAAAAAAGCACTAAATTGCGCGGAAGTTGCCATTTTCAATAAGCTCCGTTAATTTCTCGCTTTTTGACTTTTTTTCTGCAAGCTTTGGAAATAAAATATCACTGCTAGAGAAAACAGCTTGAATTGTCTTGGCTCTCCCGGCTACCGCCAACGTCCAACTCTAAAGCGGCGGTCCCACTGCTTATGCATCTTACAGAAGAGACGCTGCAAACACCGTCTGAGACCTTCCTTGTATATAAGGGTCCAGTCACATTGCTCATATAAAAACCGATTTTAGACATGCTAAAAGCATACATATGTACGAAGCACACACGCTTGAAACGTGATTGAGGCGTGAACTCAGTGAAACCACGTCTGCAGCCTGTGTCGTTTCTCTGACGTATGAGCAGTGTGTGAGCGGCTTAAGTTCACCAACTGCGCACCGTTGGCGCCGACTAAAGCGCAGACCACATGGCGCGTTTTTCTGCACGCGAAAACGCGACGCGCTATGAACGCTCGCGCGGAAGCTGGCGCGGCACCAAGCACCGCCGGCCGCGCGTTATCAGCGTTGCCAGATAACAGAATTCTCAACACGCGATGTAAATGTTGACGCAAATAGTAAAACTGAGAACTAAAGGAACAAATAAGTAAATAAAACTGGTTTGTGCGTCGAAAGACACGCTTTTTCAATTTTTATATGGGAAATAAAAATGCTTTTGAACATTTCGAAATGGGCTGAATACGAAAGAGCGTACTGTGCAAGATCACGTGATAGTTCGACCGACCCTCATTGGGCGAGACCCGCTTCGACGCCTCGGCACGCGGGTCTTGTTCTGGGTCGGCTGGAAACCGACGCTCCCGCGAAAACGCGCGCCCGGGCGCAGGAAATGACGTCAGTTTTACACTGACGCGCCTAAATCGCGAGCAAAAACGCGCCATGCGGTCTGCGCTTTAGTCGAAACCGAACGAGCATAGCTCCAAATTGCACAAAGAACGCTGTATTTAGGAAGCGGCCTCTGGAGCCGTATGTGTCTGCGCTGTAAAGGAACAACTTGGTCGTCGCTGCACCACTTACGAGGAGTGGTTGTTCAACAACGCGTGGCTGAACACTCACTCTCCGCTCACGTGTAACCCTAGCGGTCCGAACCAACAGATGGACACGAGAAGCGTCCCCTCATTTTACCTGTCCTTCGTCGTTTTCTTTTTTTTTTTTTTTTGCGCTGGGTTTTGTTAGCAACGTAACTTTTGAGTGGGTTGATGGTGACTTCTGAAACGCTGGCATCTCGCTCGAACCAATTCATACCCCTGGCGCTACATCTGGGCGTAGAAGAGCTCATTTCCGCTCATAATTCGTTTTCAGGGTTACAAGAACGAGAAATCTTTGTGCGTGTGGGAGGAAGGCTGTTGCGCATGATGCATAAATTGTTTTCTCGTTAGAAACAATGATGCTGCAGCTCCGGCACAGCCCTTCAGCAGCGCCGCCCTTTTCCTCTTTTGTCTCGTTCACAGTTCCTTGTCTGGCCATTTTAATTCTCGGCGATGTGGGACTTTTTCACAGCATCGATTGTAGCTTTGTTTCACGTCGTATACTATAAAATGTCCGCCTCTTCACATGTGGTAATATTTTCCAGCGTGTCCGTTCCTGCTGCGAGTTGTTCCATGAAATCAGAAACCTTTCCTCCCGACGGAACATGACGTTGCTAAAATTAGCTTAATTGGTCGCAAAGATCGGCGATTGATTGATTTATTCTGTTATCTACATCACCCTTACCCGGGCATTATTGTAGGGCGAAGACATACCAAAAGGCATATCAAATATAAAGCATACATCGAAAATATGCGTATGATTCGAAAAAAATTCGAATGACATCAGGTATAAAAAAATTACATAACATAAGATTTCCGACAAAACAACAAATTGGCAAGCACGCCAACAAACAAATCCACAAATAGACAGTAAGCGAAAAAAAAAAAAGTTCTGCAGAACCGAAAAAAAAAAAATGACGAAGCTGCAGCCGAGGAGACAATTTTATCTGGTATGCTATTTCGTTCGTTTACAATACGGAGATATTACAATGATCACTATAGGTTCAGGTATCGCTAGTGTGCTATTGCATATTAAAGCAGACAGCAAACAGTCTAAGCTTACCTTCCGGTAATGCATTCCCATGGAAAACGCAAATGCGTTTTCTCTTGGCGATCGATTATAAGAGCAAAGTCTGCTTAGTGCTGTGACAGAATAAAAAGTTTGGAACGTTTTACAATCGGACGTACAAAAATATGTGTCTGTTAGAGCGTTTTCCTTTAGAATTCATGGTGGTGAACACTGCACTAAAATACCCCAACATGTATAATACGCGCTTACGTTCCAGACTGCTACTATAGGGCACGTATTTACGCATGAAGTCAATGTTATGAAGCCCATAAAGTGAATCAGCTTGACGAAATGCCAGAAGGATGCTAATATAGGCAAAATCAAACAATCTAAACACACAACAAGATTAAAGCATGGAGTTATGGGACGGAGAACACGTACTGGATTAGTAACAAACTGTGCATAAGTAACATGCTGCGTTTCCGTTATCTGAATGCTATTACAGCTTGAATCAACCCTATGCACTTTTTATTTGTTCTTTTTTCTTCAATTGATAGTTTGACTTGACATATCATGCTGTACAACGTAGACCTGAGTCTAAACTTTTGCTGACTTAAATATCGCTGAGTAATAATAGAAAAACCAATTAATTAAATAAATTACGCTTTTATAATGTGAAGGAAGCTACATAGTACCCGTAACGAGTAAAGAAACTACGCTGAATTCTAATATTTCCTGGCGAAGAGAAAAATATCCCGTACGTTTTCTCATAGGAATACGCAAGAAGACTGGAAACGTAGACTGTTTGCTGTTTGCTTCAATTCGCAACTAGAAGTCCCGTAGACACTAGTGCCAGCTGAGCCTCTAGCGTTTATTGTAATAACTCTATGGTTTACAGTTCTCGGGGGAAAAAAGACTCCGGTCTTATGGCGACCATCATGAATTGGTACAAATTGTTTTTAATTCACACGAAGAAATCTAAAACTACATACTCGAATACAAGCTAATATAATCATGGCTTAATTATTTAATGACCGAGTAAATATTGTCACGTGTATCTTATTTTTCCTTCCTATATTAATGTGAAAATTTTGCACTGCGTAGTATAATATTAAAATAAAATTTGGACCAGAACTTTCATTAATTTTCATTTTAGTCTGTATTAACAAATAAGAAATTTGTAAAAAATATGAAAAACGTAAAACAAAAATATAAAAAAAATCCTTGTCCACTTGTATTATAACACTTAGCGAGTGGTGTAACAATATCAGCCAGTTACGCAAACATCCGATAGAAAGTGTGAAGCACCTGGCAATAATTACTCTTTATTTATCCAATAAAATAAGTAACCCATAACTATAATAGCCCGCCCTAGAATCCACAGGAACGTAGAGAATATTGTAAAAATAAATAATATACGAATGTGAAATTAAATTACATTTTTAAATGAGGCGTGTGCGCATGCTCAGTGCCGACAGCAGCGCCACCATAATGGCGTGACGTCACAAGATAGAGTTGGTCTATACACGAGGTAGGCTCGGTAATGAACCAAACCACAACACTCGCTCACATGCTGCACATTAATCGCAATCTGACAGGAAATCAAAACCAACAAACAATTCCAAATTTAGAGATTTTTCTTATCGCCGTAAAATGCTGTATTTGTCTTACATATTTCTAAAAATTAGTTGATTTAGTGGTTTTCTATAATTCTCGGAAAGTTTCGAATTGGAACAATGTGTTTATTTTCACTACTTAAATGCGTGAATTTTGCTCAATTGGCGGGGAGATGTTTTGGTGGCGCCCTCCTGTTTCCCTCTCGCGACGTCATTACCCTGCGAGCAACAAGTTCGATGGTGTTTGTAATTAGCATGGTGGAAGCTTGAAATCAGTGCGTCCTCAAAGCAACACTGCCAACACTGCCGAAATTAAAGTTCTAACATTCCTCTTGTTTGCGTCGATGAGGAATCCTTTTTCTGACGTCATAGTCAGCATTCGGCCAACCGTGAAGGGCCGACCACAGCAACGCTTTTGATCGCCCACGTCGCCAATAGGGGGTAATCAGTGGACGCCGTATTTGAGCGTGATGTTCAGAGGGCACGCTCAAGACGAGCCCACATTACGAGGCTGCTAAGACCGGCAGTCTTGATAGCGCGGGATGCAAGTTGCAGATGAGCTCGGGAGCTCGCGCCGTCAGTACGAGCTCAGCAGTCGAGCAAGCAGCTATGGCCGTCAATGAATACACCCTATGCTTTTGTCCAATCCTTGAATTCTGCCGTGTACAGAAAATGCCCACTCGTAAACAAACCAACGCCGCGCGTGTTTTTTTTTGTTTTTTTTTCTTTCAGTGTTGAAGGTTTCTCATCATACCAGACACTGGTGTGGTGGAAAGTGCTCAGTTTGGTTGCTAAGCCAAATAAACATGGGGCCAAAGAATCAAACTGTTGAATCAGTCCCATGTTTCTGACCCTGGAAGGGGCTTTGAAGAACGTTGACCTCCTCGCTCCCCGGAGAATGGTCAGCCAGGATCCGCGTGGTGTTCCCTCGTCCAATGGTCGGCCGGGCTGTTAGAACCGCATTCATGAAGTCTTTAACAGACTCGAGTTCACAGCTCTGTAGCACTGTCAGTGTTCTTCACTCATCCATCTGGCTCGAAACTCGAGAACCTGTTGAAAGCACAGAACAGAGCTATCCGCCGGAACTACTGAACAACAAATACACAACAAAATCAATAGCTTGCTACGCCCGTAGTTTCTATCATGCCCTTTTCAAATCTTAACCTTTTCAAAAACCTTGAGAATGTGCTTCTTTTGATCGATATTGATAATATTTTGTTTTGTGTGTGTTTGTATTTCCAATAGTTCATGCACCACTTCCCCCTTTGTAATGCTC